TTCAAGACAGAAGGAGGATAACCAAGTCTCAATATGGATGAGAGGGACAGCGAGACAGAAAGCTTGGTCCAGGGACAAGCAAGACTAATAAAAAGAAAGTTCATTCTGGTAGGCTGTCTCCTTGATCAGAAAGGTCAGCCACAGCTGGGCCTCTGTCTGAGTTCTCACTGTAAATGTAATAAAATATATACTAGATAAAGCAGAGTAGAAAGTAACCCTTATGTAAAAGACAGTTGTCAGAACAGCCGATCTAGTTTCTCTAAAGCACTCTCTGATGACAAATTCACACTAGGATTATGTGCTATGGGCAATTTTGCAAAGAACTACTGTGTAACATTTTCCTATTTCTCTTCTAGAAAAATGCAAAGGTAATTATGGACTCATAGCCAGTGTAGCAAATCAGTTAAATTAAACCTGTATTTCATCTAACTCATATAGGATATGAATAACATAACTAACTTTTCTAATTTCATACTCTAGTACTCTCAAGTAAATAAAAGGGGGAAAAAAAGTAAAGTTTCCCCCTACAAATAGAACCTGTCACTTCCTGGGATGTGCACTTTTCAGCTCATGCATCCTAAATGCATGTGGAGATATTATATGCACTTTCTATTTAGCAATTTAATTATATCTTTGCATTCAAAGAGTGGCAATGGTTTGCAGTAATAATCAGGTGAAAGCATTCTAACATTAATATGCTGGAATCCGATGTGTTAATTTGATGCAACTTTGCCTTGACAATATGTGATTAATTTGTTCTTAGGCTAGCCCTGCTCCCAGCTCTGACAGCTTAAAATGCTGGGTTTCTTTATCCATATCGCTATTTGACACGCCTTAGCCCACTGCTTTGCTAAGACCACTGTTAATTTGTAATGAACTTGCTTTTCAGGGGGTGCCTTCATTTTTAATTCTGTCAGTGTCACCTCCTTGAGGAAAATTACAAGTTTCCATAGGTGTGATTACTGCCAAGCTCTGTTGATAAGGGGTTTGAGAAAACAGGGCTTTATAAAGAAGTCTGTATTTAATCTGAAGCAGATTTATTGCCTCCAGACAGATAAATATAATACAAAGTTCTCTTATTTAAAAAGTCATCCCCAAGTTCTCCCTCACCACCTCCTCCTAAACAAAAACACAGTTTCATTTTCAGGACTCAATAATGAGTCACTCAGGGAAAAGAGGTGAACCTGTAATAAATTTAGCAATAACGGTGATTCTTGCCATCAAATTAGACTTGCAAGGGAGTCTTAGAAAACATGAATACACTTCTCACCAAGGTAAAAAGAAAAAAAAATCCCACAGAAACTATTATAATTTCACCTCTGATCTAACTAGGCAAATCAACATTACACAGAAACACCCTCCTGTTTCCTTTGGGCAAACTGAGTACTGACAGGTGAAGCTATGTATGGTTTACATTTCTCCCTGCAATACATTCCTGATACTGCCTGTCCCAGGAAGATAAGAAGTCAAAGCCTAAAAAGCCACAATGCTTAACACTGTGGTAGTCTAGCCACTAGTGACTCCTCAGGGTTTTCCCCAGTACTCTGTTCTGTTTAACCTCAGTGATGGCCTCAGCTACAGTAGACCTTACTCACCCCATTGTTTCCAGATGAGGACAAAAGAACACCCCAGTGAGTTTATTTACAGTTTTATCAGCAAAAAATAGAACATAGGGATGGAATCTACATCTTTTGACAGATAACCCTCTGCTGCTCACCATCACCACCTCTGTATAAACTCATCCTTTCTCTGACCAAGCAGCCAGGTGTCTGATTCATTCCCCTGGACCCTAATTCTTATCTTCTCCAGTTACATACCACTACTACTGCCACCAAGTCAGGTAGACATGAGTCATTTAATCCTACTCTCAGATGTTCTTAAATGTCTATTTACAGTAAAAATCAGAAGCATAAGAGCACCCCAACTCACCTCAAGTATCACTAGTGGAATAAGCCCTTGCCAGAAGGTGGCAATCCAGTACTTGGTAAGCTATACTAAAGCTGCTGGACATGATCGACCTGAGGTCCCGTTGTGCCCCAATCACCTTTTATACCATATGCTCCCCAACTGCTGCTCAGTGAAAAGTCAGTCAGACCTCATGGGCTCGTAAGTCTTCCGTGCAGCTGATCAAGATCATGCTGTCATTTTCTCAGACACTCCTTGTTTTACCTTCGCCGCAGACTATAAACAAAGCAGCCCTGTCTGCAAAAGAAGTATCTAAACTGTGGAATATCTGCTTAAAAGAAAGTAGTCATACTGTTATTTGCATTACGTATGAACTAGAAAAATTCAAAGTTGAAAAAAATGCATAATTCCCACTCCTCTCTATGCTCAATGGCACAAAGAGGATTTAGCATGTATTGAAAAGGGGGGGGGCATATGAGATTCTGACTACAAGCTGAGTCTTTAATACAAAATGTTCTCTTTCTTTATTAGGGTATGCACACCTACTAGTTTACAAGTTATTTCAGAACAGAAGCATATACTCTTATCTGTACTCATGGGGCTTGACAGGTTTCTCACTGAATAAAAATGTTTAGAAGTCTTGTCTGCATTAACTCGCACATGCAACTCAATGGAAAGTCAGCTTGGCACAGGTCTGGCCTCCTGGTATCAACTGTGGCTGATGTGGCAGGAACAGCTGCTACTCTGAAATGCCTTCCCCTGGAGAACACACAGGCCAGGGCAAAGACCACATAGGAACTATTCCCAAGTCTCCCTCCTCTGTTGGTTTGTGTCAGAAGGAGCCCTACGGACCTGCTGCTGGGTCAGGCAGAGGCTGAAAACACCATTCCCACAACAGGTGCCAGACCCAGCAAGACAAGAGGCTATCGAAAAAGGGATGTACAGAACAGAACAAAAATGAAGAGACAGAAAACACACACACACACATTCATATTAAAAAAACACTAGGGTCCAGGAAGTGGTGGTGCACGCCTTTAATCCCAGCACTCAGAAGGCAGAGGTAGGTGGATCTCTGGGTTCGAGGCCAGCCTGATCTACAGAGAGTTCTAGGAAACCCTGTCTTGAAAAAACAAAACAATAGCAACAACAAACAAACCAAAAAAAAAAAAAAAAAAACCAACAGGATGCAGTGGTATAATGGAAGCTGAGTATAACGGTCCACACTTTTAACCCAGCACTCAGTAGGCAGGAGCTGGCAGGCAGATCTCTATGAGTTTGAGGCCAGCCTGGTCTACATAGTGAGTTCTAGGTCAGCCAGGGCTACATAGACCTCTCTGTCTCATCCCAAGTGCTGGGATTAAAGGAGTGCGCCACCACTACCCAGCCAAAACTGTGTCTTAAACATACAAATAAAACAACAATAAAAGTATACTGGAAAAGGCACCATGCGTGTGTGCACGCACGTGTGAGAGAAGGAATCTGGCCACTATGACATAGGACACAGTGAATGAGAGAAGAGGTAGAGAAGCCAACCTGGAAGTGGCGCTAACACAATAGGTGTGAAATGGGAAAATTTAATGAAAGTCTAAAAACTTAAGACTCCAAAGCCCATATAGGAAAAAGAAAACTTTAAAGCTCCACTGAGCTGCCAAAGGCAGCCGACATTTAAGACTAGAACAAAGGACTGGGTACATGACTAGAGGCCTGAGACCAGATAGCACACCCCAGCTGTGCCAATCTTTCTCTGCCCTAAAGAAGACCAGATAGCCATCAACTCACGGTTGTAAAATTCCCTGGCCCAGGAGATATTAACAGACTTATTTTCCCTACAATCCCTGCTAATTGTATCCTGCCCAAACATAGTTATTGTTTTGTCCTGTGTAACCACAGAAGCTTTGTAATCTCAAGACTTTCAGTGTTGTGGACTTTCCCTTTAAAAAAAACCCTTAGCTGTCAGTGGTATTCTGCTTGCTTCCGAGTGGGCAGAATCCCTGCTGTAGCTTACCAATAAAGAAACCTTTTTTTCTTGCATTAGGTGAGCCGTCTCCTTCGTGGTGGACTTTTTGGGGTCCTGCGAACTGGGTGTGGTAAGTCCTAACACAAGGGCATGAGTGACTGATGAGTCTGGCTGTTGCTGAGAGGGAAAGAATGATAGAAAAAGGAAAGTACATTCTAGAAACAATCCTTTATTGGGTGTTATTTCATAGAAAGACCCTATCTGACATGCAAACCACACTGGAATACTCTGCTTTTTCTATAAGCTCCTAGTCATGTTTGAATGGTCTGTAAAGCAGAAGTTATTGACTCCCACTCCTGTCTCTCAATCACAGGAAGCAGATCTGTGCCCTTTAATGCTGTAGGACATAAAGCATTGTGTCCTGAGCAGAACAGCAGCACTCTGTCCTTAAGTACCTCATTGTCTCCTAAATGGCCTCAGCTACAAATACTCCACTACTAAAGGACTTTATGAAAACCGCAGGGCAGAAGGAACCATTACCACCTTTGTGGCAAAGCCCCTTGAGCAAAGTGGGAGGCACTTAAAAACCAGTTGAGAGTTAACCTCACAATAACAAGTGGAAGCCCTCTGGGAACCTGTCACATGGTAAGTACAACAGAGGTCAGGAACAACACAAAGTGCAGCAATGCCTGGATTCAAGTGCTGACTCTTCCAACTGAGATATACGACCTCAGGCAAGCCTCAGTTTCCTATACTGTCATTGGGATTACCATAGTACCACCTCACAGGGCTGTGGTAAAAGTCAATTACTTCATGCAAAGCACTCTGAACCATGCTTGGGCACACTAGAAAATGTCAATGTATATTCATTCACTGCTATTATCCATAGAACCAGGTACATTTCCCGCTGCCCTCCTGTCCCTCTCAATTCCTACTAAGCACTGTGCTGGCACCCTGTGATAGAGAGAAAAGTAGAGGGACACACATGGCTAGACCTGTGATCTGAAGAGGCACAAACAGGCACAGGCACTGTGGAGTAGAGGAGGGAGCCACTGCCGCTAAGCAAAGGAGTGTTCCAGAAGCAGCAGCAGTGTCTTAAGTTTACATGGCACAAGCATGGCATAGGGGTTCTACATAC